GGTTGTCTACGATGTTACTGATCAAGAGAGCTTCAACAACGTGAAGCAGTGGTTGAACGAAATCGACCGATACGCTAGCGAGAACGTCAACAAGCTGCTTGTGGGGAATAAGTGCGATCTTACCAACAAGAGAGTCGTGGATTATCAAACGGCTAAGGTGAGACCTACCTAGGTGGATTCTCTTCCTCTTTTGAGATTAGTTTCGAGAGCCGAGCTACTGTATCTGCTTCCCGCAGCTTTTCTTACCAACTTTGAGATCATATCATCAGAAATTACAGCAAAACAAGGAAATATGAGTTGGATGCACTGGCTTCCTGGCGAACTGGGCTGTTCATGGTAGCATACGATACGCTGCGATTGCGTCAATGTCATCTTCCCTCCGTCTATCCTGAACTGCTGGCAGGCTTTTGCTGATGAGATTGGCATCCCCTTTTTGGAGACCAGTGCGAAAAACGCCACAAATGTAGAGCAGGCTTTCATGACTATGGCAGCTGAGATTAAGAACAGGTATGTAGTTCGATTACAGTATCTTTCACCTGGCTCAACTTCTGTGCCCGAATTTGGCACTGTCGTCACTCACCTACTCCATTCTGTTGCTTCCTTTGGCCACCCACCAATTTCTTCAACATCTGTGTTCTGTCCCAACCTCCCCCTTCCATTTCCCTCTACTCCATTCTGCTGCTCCCTTTGCCCACCCACCAATACCTTCAACATGCGTTTCCTGTCCCAACCTCCCCTTTGCCTCCCCCCTCCTCTCCCCCCCCCTTTCCGTCCTTCTTCCACTTATCTCCTCCTTGTTCGTATCTCTTCCTGCTTGGAGTACGCTCGCGCCACTTTACCCCCATAGTTCCGCCTTTGATGGTTCTCTTTTCTTGCAACATTGGAGGTCTCTTCCCTCCCGCCGCCCCCCCCCCAACCATTCCCCCCCGACCTCTCTTTCCTTGAGAGTTTTGCAGGATTCCCCCCCACCCATTTTTCTCCTTGGCACCAACCCCCCATACTCCTCCCTTCTCCCAACCACCTTTTCCTCTGCTTCCATACGAAATCCGGAATGTTGAATTAATTGTATACTGTGCAGGATGGCGAGCCAGCCAGCTTTGGGGAACAAGACAGGACAGACCGTTCGTCCAGGAGAGAGCAGGCCTCTGCAACAGAAGAGCAACTGTTGCTAGCTGCGGATACATCTTACACTACTACCTATAGTATGGTTAGCAATCATTAGACATTCTTGCTGGTTTCTTTGAATATAATCGCGTACAGTCAGCGGGAGCTTGAGCTAGACTTGTAGGACATTAGCCTGTGCTACTACCTGTTGACTCAATATATAAATCCCAACAAACTGCTTCAGGTTTCTAATACGGTAGAGTTTCAGAACAAAGAACAAAACGCATAGTTTACAGTTTCAACCACCAATGTAAAATTATCTGAAAAAGGCCAAGCCCACCAACATTTGCACTATGCTGGAACGGGCACTGGCACAAGCGTAGGGCTCATGACCATCGGCTTGGCTACCGCCACAACCTTATCTTCTCCAAAAAGGTACTCCACCAGGGTCAGCGCGAACTCAAACGCCGTTCCTGCCCCTCGACTCGTCACCATTGGACCATCCACGACTACACGTGCCAGCACTGCGGATTGATCCGCAAGCTGGTCAGAAAGTGATGGGTGTGCTGTAGCCTTCTTCCCTTGGATTAATCCCTTGGACTGGAGAACCACGACCGGAGCAGCACAGATGGCCGCACATAGCCTCCCCTCTGCAACTTGCTCACGCAGAATGCCGTCCAGCAAGGTGCTGTCGCGAAGGTAGTTTACCCCTGGAATACCCCCGGGAACAAACACAAGGTCGAACTTGCGCCCTGCAGCAGCGACGTCAGTGAGGGTGGTGTCAGCAGTGAGATTCGTACCGCAACGAAGCTTCAAATCCAGAGAATCAGTGACAGAAGCAACAGTCACTTTCGCCCCCGCACGCACGAGCACGTCAATGGGAACAACTGCCTCCACATCCTCTGTTCCGTCAGCCACTGCCACCAGCACTGTCACCTCCTCCCCTTCCTTCTTCGGCTTCGGAATCTTATCCTTGTTTTCCACCACACGCAGCAGATCTGATCCGTCCCCCTTTGCAGCTACAATCCCTGCGGCTACCTCAGCTGCTTTCGCCTCCCCGAACAGCCGAGTTGCCAACGCAAGTGCAAACTCAATCGCAGTGCCAGGGCCACGGCTGGTAACCACGTTACCGTCTTCCACGACCCGAGATGCGGTAACGGCTGGGTCAACGCCAGTCAACTTATCGGAGAAGGCCGGGTGGGCTGTGGCTTTGGTGGTGGCAGTCAGGACGCCCCACGATTGGAGGGCCACCACAGGGGCGGCACAGATAGCAGCCACGGACGAATGGGGGAGCAACATGTGGCGCTCCACGATCTGCTTGAGGGGTGTGCTGTCCCTCAGGTACTCGGCGCCTGGCATGCCTCCTGCAGGAGAGAGAGGGGGAGAAGGAAAGGGAGACAGGGGAAGAAAAAAGTTAGGCACCTCAATAACGTGCTTGAGGGGAGCGCTGTCACTCAGATGCTCCGCGCCTGGCATGCCGCCTACGGGTTTCTGACCCCATATCCTACGGTTCGTGACCCCCTGTCACTTAGTGTATCTTTTCCACTTAAATGTCCCATGCCACTGCTCTAGCCAAGATTCCTCGTTGTTTTTTCTTCTTAAAAGAAACACCAATTCCTCGTTTGAAGCACGTTACCTGGCAAGACGACGAGGTCGAAATCCGTATCCACGACCGACGTGATGACGTCATCAGCGACGAGCTTCACTCCGCGCGACGCGACGATCGCCTTCTGCGGCTCGACGGACGCAACCACCACCTCGGCTCCCGCACGTCGAAGCACATCCACTACAATCACACTCTCCATCTCCTCCGTCCCAGTCGCGATCGGTACAAGCACTTTCTTGGCCTTCGCGGCGCCCCCGCTATTGTCACCCTCGCCGGCCATGGCTCTTGGGGAGAAACCGGTGGAATCGGTTGAGGCGACGTGTGCGGAACGCGCTGATGAGCGCGCAAAGGCGGAAGGCAACAGAGTCGAAAAACTCCTCCGCGGAACAAACGCCGGGGGGGAAGTTTGCGCGGGGATGAGTCTGGGGAAAAAGGCGGTAGGTCTCCTGGAAGACCGGGTAAAGCGGGAGAGGGTGACACCCGATTGGTGGGAACGGGAGGAGGCAATCCGAGAAGCGCACCGAGCAGCAGTGGTGGCGACAGCGATAGCGGAAGCGGATGCTGCGGCGGCAACAACGGCGGGCATGGTGGAGGAGATAGAAAGACCCACAATGAGAATTTCAGGAAGGATATTTTGAAGATTCTGGATTCTTCTGTGGGTGAAAGATTTGGCCTGGAGTTCGATCCCGTTATTGCCTCACCTGCCGCAAGGTAATGCGCTCATGTGGTTAGATCGAATTTTTTTTTGTAAAGGATAATGAATATTTTCATCCCTATGTACATTGTTTATTTATATTTAAAGCAAGAGACTTCTAGAACCTTACGAAAAAACTATATCGAGTGACTTTTTACGAATGCAGCCTTCCCGCATATCTCCTAGATTTCATCCTGCCAACTTCTGACGACTTTGTCATGTGATCGAATAGGATCAATCAGCCATGAAGTATAAGCGTTAGTTTCAAAGTTTTACGACGCGAAGTCGCAAGTGCAGGTTAGGCTGCTGTTGGCTTCCCTTTCAATCGACTCTGATCCATTAAGAAGCGAAGGCTAGGTTACACATTTCGCGATGGCGAAAAAAGATCGGCGAGCATCGCAAACTGCCAAGCCGCAGAAGAAGGTGAAGTCGCCAGCGGAGATCACGGCGGATAAGCTTCGGTACCACAGAGAATTGGACTCGAGATGGGCTATCATTCGCGTAAGCTCAGCATTCGCCGTTCCTTATCATTGCCATACCTTATCATTGCCGTTCCTTATCATTGCCATACCTTATCATTGCCGTAGTTCACATTTCTTACTCTTCTTCGCGATCGTCATCGTTTCACCGGCAACGCTGATCCATTCCGTACCACAAAGAATCAAACTCGCGTTCATTTATTGTTGTCGTTAGCTCGTTCCTTTTGTTTTTCTTACGCACTTTCGGATTGTTGGAATGTTGTGTTTCCCCCGTGAACCAGCTTCTTTGTCGTCCTTCGTTACACCCCGTCCTCCACTTCAGGAAAACCGGATCGAGTATTTTCGCGGAAAGGATTTCGCAGACCTCATTCGTAAGCACCCCGATCTCGCGACGCCATTAATCCCCGCGGAAGATGTCGCGAGCCTTCGCAAGCCCATAGAGGAAGCCGTGTTTCACGCGCTCGTGGAGGCTCAGCTGGTGGTGCGGTGCGATCGAGTCGTGAAGACCCTCAGACCAGGCCGAAAGAAGCTCTCCAAGTGGCCGGCCCGGCTTGACTTTCACCAGGTACTAACATTCAGCTTTCTGGGCTGGGCTTAGGTGCAGAATCTAGGATTTCAATATGGGGATTTTGAAGGCTCAGCTGGTGGCGCAGTGCGATTAAGAGTGGTGAAGACCCTCAGACCCGGACGGAAGAAGCTCTCCAAATGGCCGGCCCGGCTTGACTTTCGCCAGGTACTCATTTCTGGGCTGGCTGAGGCGCAAGGGGCGAGGGGGAAAGGCTGGTTTTGAACCTTAGCTCAGGGGGTGCCTAGAGGTTGGTGGATTCTCAGATAGTGGTGTGGTGTGATCGAGTGGTGAAGATTCTCAGACCCGGCCGAAAGAAGCTCTTGAAATGGCCGGCCTGGCTTGACTTTAATCATACTCGTTTCGGGGCCTGCTGAGGTGCAAGGGGTAGGGGGCAAATGGTGGTTTCACTATTTGACCTCTCCCTGTCCCTTGACTCTATTCGTTTGTTTCTCCCACCTCCCCACCTCCTCACCCTCCATCTCCCCACTCTCCCTTCCCAATGTGTGGATCAATCATTCACTCACGGTGGGCGATGGCATCTACGCCTGGATGTACGAGCGCCAGCAGCCCATATGGCAGACCATCCTCTCCTTCCTGCTCGTCTTTCCCCAGCTCATTCTTCCTCTCTGCCTCTCTCCGTCCTCGTCTTGCCAGGACCAAGCGTTCACAGTGGACGATGGCTTCTATGCCTGGATGTACGAGCGCCAGCAGCCCATATGGCAGACCATCCTCTCCTTCCTGCTCCCGGTCTTCACCGTTGCCTGCTGCCTCTTCCCCGTCTTCCCCCACTGGTGCAAGCTCGCTGTACTCTACTTCCTCCTGGGGCTAATCGCCCTCATCTTCCTGCTGCTATTTGGTAAGTGAAACACTTAGCGGTGGTTATAAGTGGTTAGAAGTCTTCACTGTCGCCTGCTGCCTCTTCCCCGTCTTCCTCCACTGGTGCAAGCTCGCTGTACTCAACTTCCTCCTGGGGCTAATCGCCCTCATCTTCCTGCTGCTATTTGGTAAGTGAAACACTTAGCGGTGGTGACAAGTGGTTAGAAGTCTTCACTGTCGCCTGCTGCCTCTTCCCCGTCTTCTCCCACTGGTGCAAGCTCGCTGTACTCTACTTCCTCCTGGGGCTAATCGCCCTCATCTTCCTGCTGCTCTTTGGTTAGTGAGACACTTAGCGCTGGTTATATGTGGTTAGAAGTCTTCACTGTCGCCTGCTGCCTCTTCCCCGTCTTCCCCCACTGGTGCAAGCTCGCTGTTTTCTACTTCCTCCTGCGGCACATTGCACTCATCTTCCTGCTGCTATTTGGTAAGTGAGGCTCCTAGCATGAGGTAAGGTTTGATGCTCCTAGAGGTCTTCACTGTCTCTTCCCCGTCTTCCCTCACTGGTGCAAGCTCGCCGTGCTCTATTTCCTCCTGGGCCTCATTGCTCTCATCTTCCTGCTGCTCTCTGGCAAGAGACATTTGGCGTGGGGTTAGGTTGTCCTTAAGAGTTTTTTACAGCAGGCTGCCTGGTACATTCTGGCGGTGAAAAAACCGAGTTTTGAGTCATCTGGCTGGCTGTGGACAAGCGCCTGTGGTTCTTCCGCCGCATCCTAGTAAGGCTGTTTGATGGAACCATCCCGCTTCACGTACACCCATTCACGTACCCCCCCTTCCCACCCTGCCCCTTCTCTCTCATTGCAGTCCGGGTGGCGGTGTTCGGAGTCATCTGGCTGGCGGTGGGCAAGCGCGTCTGGTTCTTCCCCAGCATCCTAGCAGAGGAGGGCTCGCTGGCAGAGCTTTTCCGCTTCTGGCCGGATAAGGACGACCAGCCGCCCGCAAAGATCACCACGCGGCTGGCGGTGGCTGTGATGGTGGGGTTCACCTTCTGGCTCATGGTCACCTATGCTCCCGATCAAGAGCAACGAGCCAAGTAAGCACCTTCGATGTGTATAGACAATGGGTTTCTCGCACTGTTTTTCCTCGCACTGTTGTTGCTGTTTGTGCTTTGCTGTGACGCTGGGGTTCACCTTCTGGCCCATGGTCACCTTCTGGCCCATGGTCACCTTCTGGCCCATGGTCACCTACGCTCCTGACCAAGAGCAACGAGCCAAGTGAGTGTTGTTGTCTCTGTTTTTTTCTTCTTCTTCTTCCCCCTTTATTTCTTTGATTTCATTTTGTGTGTGCTCTGTTGTCACTCACACAGATATCACACAATGTCATGTATGCTCTGTGCTGTGCGTTGAGTGGTTTGGGCTTCGTGGGTGTGGTTTGTGTTTGTTTCAATCTTACTGTATCTTGCCATTTTCTTTCTCCAATTGTTACACTGTTTCCTGTTTTGTTATGTTTTCCTGTTGCAGGTACCAGAAGAAGGTGTCCAACATCATTGACGATGTCTTACAATGGAAACCGCAGATGCTTGCAGGGAAGACAACGCCAGCCGCCCCTGTCAATGCCACATCAGCAAATCAGACCTCTGCTAACGCCACTGCTGACAATTCAACATCTCCCAACGCAAGCGCAGAAGCAGCTGATGCCAAGACAGGTGCCACCAGTGGTGCCAGTACTGAAAACAGTGGCAGCTTCGATGCCAGTGCTGGCAAGGAGGATGTGTCTGAACAGTCTTCTGGTGGGGACCAAAGTGGGCAGGCTCGCACAGAAGGTGGTTCTACGACAGGGAGGGAGGCAGGTGCTTGACTCGGTTGTGGTTAAATACTTTCAGACCAATGTAGGTACATATAGTTGATGGCAGTGTAGATTGGTATATATTCCGTTATTTTTTAGTGATCCTCTAAGTTCTCGAACTTTCTGGTGCTCGCGAAGGGTTGGAACACTATCTCGCAACATTTGTTACTTCTCGTGTCTCTCGCAATCTGTGTATGGCTTTCGTTCGCTTCGCCTGCTACTCTTGCACAACTTCCGCCCACACCCCGAGAATCCTCCTCCCTCTGCTCCAGCATTCTGCAGACACCGTTCCAAAGATCAGCAGTCGCACCAGTCTCTCCGCTTCGCCTCATAACAACTTCACCGCCTTTCACCTCGTTCTGCCAGCTCACTTCGGACCTTTCCGCGCGACGCGTGTTTGTACTTGGCAGACACCATGTGAGTAGCGTGATCCGTGGAGAGTATTTTTCCGCTCCTTCGTATGTAGTAGGTTGTGCTTTAACGGATTCTCGCTCGAATCGTGTCTGACGATCTTGTGTGCCACGTGTAGGGCTGACGACGAGCCTGTGGATCCGAAGCCCGAGATTGAGGAGGGGTGCCGGCCGAAGTGTGTGAAGCAGCTACTCGCGTACGAGGTGAGACTTTCCTTCTCCCGCAAAGCATCGCTTCTTCAGTATACCTGAAGCTGCGTAGTTCGTCATGCGGTTGACCTACGATCGCAGGCGCATAGGCATGTCGCAGCTTCTTTCAACTTCTAGCCTTCCTTATCTGTCCAACGTGTCGGCTTAGTGGCTATGAGCTCCCTCTGGTCTCTGATCTGCATTGCGTAGGCTTGTGTGAAGAGGATCGAAGGCGACGAGACTGGGGAGAAGCATTGCACTGGCCAGTACTTCGACTACTGGGCGTGCATTGATAAATGCGTGAGTTTCTCGTTTTCTTGCAAATGATTTGGAAGTGGTTGGGCTTGTCATTTGTCTTGTGTTCTGCTATCTAGTAAGCTATTACCTGATCGAACCCTTTTTTTGTGCATTCTGACAACTTGTGCAGGCGGCTCCTAAAATCTTTGCCCAGCTAAAGTAATACTCTCTTACAACTACTGTATTCGCAGTGAACTTGGCTAACTTGGGGATGGTTTGTTGGTGGACTCAAGAGAGGCCTTGTCATTGATATTCTTTCCTGTATATGCAGCGGATGCCCAGGCAGGCAGGCAGTCCTTGAACTATGGACATTTCCCTCACTCACATCTGCTCAACGTACAGCAAGAAATACAGAAGTCTGACAATGTGTGGATGTCACAACCGTAGCTGACAACGTGTACGAAAGAAAGCATAGCTGAACAAGTAATCTTCATGTAAAGGCGCACTGGAGGGAATGCTGGGAAATGGATGAAGCTTTGGCCTTATTAATAATCTTAAACTAACCTCACTAACTTAAAGATGATCTGGTGTATACCATACGATTCAACAATCGTAGTTACCGAAACCCTTCAGAGCGGATCATTGCAAGACTCCATTCCACTTCACAGCGATTACTGCTCCTCTATCCCTAGCCCTTCACCTTCCCGCGTCTCTCCGAACCAAACGTAATTATGAACTATCTCACACAGACAAAGCAGCTTCCTTCGATATATTTCATTTCCTTGGGACTTCCCAGGCCCTCAGGGTGAATCATACTCGTGTAGCATCCATTTTCGTAGCTGGTGGAGCGCGATAGTATGTATGGGTCTCAGCCGACCCGTCTTAGTCCCTTGTAGTGGAGCTGAGTCTGGCCTGAATTGGTGATACTCAGTGCGAATCGGTGCGACTTGGTGCGACTCGGTGCGAATCGTTCCGGGGGTCACCATGTCTAAGCGTGAGCTGCACCAGAAGTTATTTGAGGAGTTTGATTACAAGGAAAAGGCGGGATCTGCGTGGAGCCATAACTACTTGAATCAGAAGCCATGGCATCCGATGTCGTATCCCAACCAGCGTCGCAAGTGGATTGCGGAGCAGATGCACGGCGTGCAGGACAAGCGACTGACCGAAATAGAAAAAGAGGTACGCGTTATGAGATGTTACGTTACTGGTGCATTTGCTCATGGATCGCTGACGACAAGCGATTGATCGAAATCGAGAAAGAGGCTATCTACAGAAAGGTGTACGCGTTATGAGACGCCTTGATACTCGGGTTGATGCGGGTAGACACCGCGCCGTGTTCCAAACACTGGGTAGGCATTGTCTTTTTAGGCATCCCAACTTGCACACCGTCTACTGCCGTCTGCTGTTTCCTTGTCTCCTTTTCCCACGTCTCTGAAAGGCACAGGCGATGCATTCCGTGTCGTTCCTCTACTTGAAGGCTCTTGGGTACAACGCCGAGAGCCAAGAGCCGGGACTGCCTTGCCTCCCTGCTTCCCTTGCCTCCCTGCTTCCCTTGCCTTTCTGTGTCCCAGGTTTGCCTCATCCACTCTTGCTCCCTTTCCCTTGCCTCCCTGTTTCCCTTCACTTCCGGTTTTCCGTGCCTCCCATTCCCTTCCCTTTCTCTCCCTGTTCCTTGACTCCCGATTGCAGTTCCAGAAGGAGCAGGAGTATTTCAAACAAACGGCGCTGCTCTCAAAGCAACAAAAGGCCAAAGCAGAGGCGATGCAGTCTGTGTCGTTCCTCTACATGAAGCCTCCCGGGTACAACGCTGAGAGCGCGCGGGCGGCAGAGCTTGCAGAGGAGGAGAGGGCGAAGCAGGAGAGGGAGGGGAAGATGCAGCTGGAAGGGGGAGGAGGAGGGGAAGGAGGCGGAGGGGAAGGTGGGGAAGGAGAGGGGGGAGGAGGGGAGATTGCGGGTATGGGTGCGGATGGAGCGTTGGTGGTGGCAGAGGCAGGGTGAGTCTGCTCTTTCATTCCTTTCTTTCTTTTCCTCTCAACTCAGAACAGGCTCAGAACTCACCTGAGCCTGATGAGAGTTTGCAGCATGTTTCAGTGTTCAACGATTTACGTATTACCTATATTGAAGCCGAGAGCCATGGATGTTTTTGAGTCGACTCAAATTCAGTGTTCGACGATTTACGTATTACCTATATTGAAGCCGAGAGCCATGGATGTTTTTGAGTCGACTCAAATTCAGTGTTCAACGATTTACGTATTACCTATATTGAAGCCGAGAGCCATGGATGTTTTTGAGTCGACTCAAATTCAGTGTTCGACGATTTACGTATTACCTATATTGAAGCCGAGAGCCATGGATGTTTTTGAGTCGACTCAAATTCAGTGTTCAACGATTTACGTATTACCTATATTGAAGCCGAGAGCCATGGATGTTTTTGAGTCGACTCAAATTCAGTGTTCGACGATTTACGTATTACCTATATTGAAGCCGAGAGCCATGGATGTTTTTGAGTCGACTCAAATTCAGTGTTCGACGATTTACGTATTACCTATATTGAAGCCGAGAGCCATGGATGTTTTTGAGTCGACTCAAATTCAGTGTTCGACGATTTACGTATTACCTATATTGAAGCCGAGAGCCATGGATGTTTTTGAGTCGACTCAAATTCAGTGTTCAACGATTTACGTATTACCTATATTGAAGCCGAGAGCCATGGATGTTTTTGAGTCGACTCAAATTCAGTGTCTGACCCCTTCAGGATGTCTGACCCCTTCAGGATGTCTGACCCCTTCAGGATGTCTGACCCCTTCAGGATGTCTGACCCCTTCAGGATGTCTGACCCCTTCAGGATGTCTGACCCCTTCAGGATGTCTGACCCCTTCAGGATGTCTGACCCCTTCAGGATGTCTGACCCCTTCAGGATGTCTGACCCCTTCAGGATGTCTGACCCCTTCAGGATGTCTGACCCCTTCAGGATGTCTGACCCCTTCAGGATGTCTGACCCCTTCAGGATGTCTGACCACGCATCCCCCTGTACCATCCCATTCTCGGCAGCACTGAGCCGGCTGATATCGACGGGGGCGAGAAGAAGAAGAAGCCCCGAGCCACGGACGTCTGTGTCTTACCCCATCTTCATTTTCTTGTTCCATCCCCTTCCTTTCTGGCAGCACTGAGCCGCCTGATACTGACGGGGCCAAGGAGCAGAAGAAGAAGAAGAAGCCCCGAGCCACGGACGTGTTTGGTCGAGCCGTGCCCACCGGAGACGACTTTGAAGTGCTCAAGAATGCGCCCAGGTGAAAGGGAGAGCTGTTTTAGGCGCTGTAAAAGTTATCATATATATAACGAATCGTGTGTGAGCTAAACATTTTCAGGTGCTTCATATGTATTCTCTTGGCCTGCCGCTCCATTTCCCTTTCCTTGTTACTCTCAGGATGGACACAGGCATCATTGGTCGGTTACGCCCGTTCGGGCTCGAGCTGAGGAACGTCAAGTGCGGGCAGTGCGGGGGGTGTGTGTGTGTGGGAGGTGTGTCATCAGATGTTCGCCCCCCTCTCCCTTCCACTCCCACACTTCTCAGGATGGTCACTGGCATCATTGGCCCACCGCGCCCATTCCGGCTCGAGCTGAGGAAAGTCAAGTGTGGACGGTGTGGGGGGAGGTGTAGGAAGTGTGTCATCACATGTTCGTCCCCCCTCTCCCTTCCACTCCCACACTCACCAGGTTGGACACAGGAATCATAGGCCGGCCGCGCCCCTTTGGGCTCGAGTTGAGGAATGTCAAGTGCGGGCGGTGTGGGGGGATAGGGCACAGCAGTGGCGAAAGGGAGTGCCCTCTGTTTGACTCCGTGACTGAAAACGACCTCAAGCGGCAGCAGCGGGAGGACCCGCTCTCTCACATCCTCGCCCTCAACCGCCCCCAGGTATGCCCCCTGCCAGGCTCCTTTTCTTGGTATGCCCGTTGCTGCTATGCTGGATACCGCCCCTTCTTTCCCCCATTGTTGGGTGCTTTACTGCCTTACTACCAACGGATGTGACCCCCTTTTCCACATCCTCGTCCTCAGTCGCCCCCAGGTACGTTCTGTGCTGCCCTTTTTACCTCCATTCTCCCCATCCATCTGAAACCTTTTTTTCTCAAGCTCTCCTCTCCCCCCCTTCCCCACTTGGCTTCTTTCCTGTTTTTCACAGCCGTTTGGGTGGAAGCTGAAGGAGGAAGGGGCGGGCGGGATGAGCCCTGTCTGGGTCAAGTCAAGCCCGCACACCATGCACCTTTCCCCAAACAATTTCCCCCTCATCCCTTCCTTTCTTGGCCCATTTCTTGCTGACTCCCCTCAGCCGTTTGGGTGGCAGCTGAAGGTGCAAGGGGCGGACGGGATGAGCTCTTATAGAAGCGGCTTAATGGCAAGTGATTACACATGCATCCTTTCCAAAACATTCCCTTCAAGCTCCTTGTCTTGGCCCCTTTCTTGCCGTCTCTCCTCAGCCGTTTGGATGGCAGCTGAAGGAGCAAGGGGCCGGTGGCATGAGCCCCGTCCGGGGCGGCTTCAAGCCAAACGATGCCAACCAGCAGATCCTGCCGCCCAGCGACGACGAGAACGAGGGCGTGTTCGACCAGTATGGGGGGTTCCTCCTTGGAGGAGAGGCGGATGTAGCAGCATTGGCTGCAGGAGGGGTTGGAGGTATTGGAGGGGGAGGGGTGCTTATGCCTGGTCTTGGCTCTTCTGTGTTAGACTCGCTGACGAAGCAGCAGCGCAAGGAGTTGAGCAGGGCTTTAAGGATGAAGGAAAAGGAGGAGCGGAGGAAACGGAGGAAGAAGAAGGAGAGGAGAGGTGGGGGGGAGGGTAAGAGTAAGAGCGGGCGGGAGAAGAGGAGGAAGAAGGAGAAGAAGAAGGGACGTGGGGGGCGGAGGAGCCGTCACCATCGCAGAAAATCAGATTCTGATTCATCGTCTGATACAGGATCGGATTCTTCAGAATCGGAATCAGATTCTGAATCGAGCTCAGGGGATGAGCAGACTGCTAGCTCTAGTGACAGCAGTAGGAGTGAGAGCAGTGGGAGTGACAGCAGCTGCAGCGACAGGAGTAAGAGGAAGCGGAGACGAGGATCGAAGAGAAAGAGGTCGCATGAGAGGAAGGGGAGGGAGAAGGAGAAGCAGAGGAGACGTGAGGAGGGAGGTCCAGGGCCTAGGGAGGAGAAGAAGGAAGAAACAAGCAAGAGTAGGGTAGAGAGCAGGGTAGAGATCAAGATAGAGAGAAGGGAGATCCAGACGGGTGCTACTGCTGATGCTGGTGAACGTCATAGTTCGAGGATAGAGGACGAGGATGGAGAGGAGAAGGGGGAACGAGGAAGCAGGCGCAGGTTAGAGGGGAAGGAGGTGAAGGGGCGTGCTGGTGGAAATGGTGGTGAGAGTGGTGGAACGAGGTGGGATGATCAGGGTGGAGAGGGAAGAGGAGCAAGGATGAGCAGGCGCGGGACAGAAGGGAAGGAGGTTAAGGGGCGTGCTGATGGAATTGCTGAGGGTGGTGGAACGAGGTGGGAAGATGAGGTTGGGGAGGAGCGAGGAGGAAGAGAAGGGATGGATGGTTACAGGGAAAGGATGTTGGAACGGATGGGGAAGGATGGGAAAGAGAGGAGCAGGAAAGAAGGGAGAGGGGAAAAGAAGAGAGAAGAGGGTTGGTCGAGAAAAGAGGAAAAGTGGGGAGTGGAAGGGAAGAGGGAGCATCGTGGGGAAAGAAGAGAGGGGAGGGGCTGGAGAGTAGAGGAAGGAGATAAAGGGCGAGAGGGTGACAGGGATTCTGGTCGAGGGCGCAGGGGCAGGGAGGAGCATGAACGGAGGAGAGAGCGAGTTGATGTGAGGGAGGGGCGGGACAGAAGTTAAGGTAGGTGGTGACAAAGGCCCATTATGACTTTCTTGTATAGGGGATATGTGTAAAACATTTTTTTTTTTCATGTCGTTTCTCGATTCTATATCCTGGGCTTCCCAACTTCTCTGATGAAGTTGTTGTCAAGCTGTAAGGTATGAAGTAAAGAAAATATTAGCTGTTTGGATGCAACAGCTGGGACTTGAAAGCCGTGTTGGTATTGTTAACGAACCATTTCTTAATGGTGATCCATCGCTGTCTCAGCTGGGGCAACTTGGCTGATGTTTTCCCCAGTGCTGAATCTGTCTGCCGTGTCTGCGCAGCACCGTCGATTCTCCTGAATCTGGGCGGATTGAGTTAATCTCGCTTGTTCCCAGCTTTCGATCCCATCACTCCAAAATTCGACCAATCACTATTCGTGAGTCCAGCTGGACCTAGGCCCTCCATCAGTGATCTTCGTCTCCAGGCTGGCTGCCCGTTGTCGCCGTCCTGCTTTGTTGGCCATCAATGGTTCTGGGGCATCTGGTTACAGAATACTGTAGTTCTGTGGCTGGAGAAGTTCGGCTTCGCCAGGGGGTTGTATGGCTACCCGCCCACGCACGACACCTCGGCATTGTTCATGCCTCGAGACATCCGACGGCATCCTTGAGGTCTTCCTCACTTCGATGTTCGGTTCCGTAAGTACATAACCCTCGTTATTCAGGGTTGTCTCTTGGTATTGAAGGATCTGTCTCGGTACAGTGTATGCATCACTTATGTACATGGTAGTCTGCTGCTCGATGATACAGGACCTAGGTTGTGGAAGTCACACTGAGGGAGGGGAGGGGAGGAACCTCCCCCACAGGCCTTGCTTTCCCGACGCTGAGCTCTCCACTCTCACCGATACTATAAAGTCAGCCTCTAGGCGTAATCAATCCATTTCTTGCCAGTTCCGGTCATTTCACCATTTATTTTTTTGCATCTCGTTATTCCTTGGTTAGCGCGTCGCATTTCTTATCTTGCAGCACAGGTAGGCTTCGAGGTTCGCAAGCATGGGTTATCCTTAGCCGCTCTTTTAGGGTTTCAGCCATGTGCTGTGGCTTTCCTATCGACGCCTCGTCATTCACTTATTCAACAATGAATTTTCACGCAAGTGACTCGGGATCTACTCCTACTATTTACGAAGACGAGGATTTAAGCTTGCTGGAGTTAGCTGCGAGTAATGACATAGATAGTTTCAGACGAAGCGTCGACATTTTACGGAAGCCATTGACTGAATGCGAGGCATGGTACTGTCGTCAGAATGGCTCCACCAGAATGGCTCTTGCACAGCGAACTCCTGCCATGATTGCTTGCCTATTCGGCAGCCTAGATATTTTATCATATATTTTTATTGAAGCACGTAGTCGCGGTGTAGAGTGCAACATTAACCAGGCAAGTCCTTCTGATGGCAGCACAGCGCTTCATTGTGCAGCGTTGGGTGGGAGCCCGCGAGCTGTAGAGGTGGTTTCATTTCTTCTCCGTCACGGAGCCGAAAAAGATGCCGTCGACCGTGACGGAAAACGTCCAGTCGACGTCATTGCAGTCTCCCCGAAGCTTCCTCACGTCAAATCCGCCCTGGAGCGCCTTCTCAAATCCTCCTCGTCCGCCGGTCCCGACCCGATCTACCACCGTCCGTCTCCGTTCATCATCGTCCAATCAGCGGCGTCCACGTCTCCGCCGTTCGAATCTCCGTCATCGCCAAACTCCCACTCCGCGTCGCCCAACATGCTCTCTCCCGCAACCTCGAGCAGCAGTGACCTCTCTTCTAACTCCACTGGACTCGACGTGCTTGCTCCCACCACTCCATCAACTGGCGCGGGTGTAGTCGAGTCATCCATGGCGGATATGAAGAGCAGCGTGTACGCTTCGGACGAGTTTCGGATCTACAGCTTCAAGGTGCGGCCGTGCTCGCGCGCGTACAGCCACGACTGGACGGAGTGCCCGTTCGTGCATCCGGGGGAGAACGCCCGCCGGCGCGATCCGCGCAAGTTTCATTACAGCTGCGTGCCGTGCCCAGATTTCCGCAAGGGGTCGTGCAGGAGGGGGGACTCGTGCGAGTACGCGCACGGCGTGTTCGAGTGCTGGTTGCACCCCGCGCAGTACCGAACCAGGTACGGCTTCCCGCCTATGTAAATGCATCAAGCGAGTCAATATTTCCCAGCCAAGTAACACTACATTAGAGGCTCCTTGATGTTTAGTTGCCTCCTTCCTCTGGCATTTTCCTTTGAAGAGTTAGCGAGAACGCCGGGGCCGTATACTCTCGCTGTCTTCCTGCTCCTCCCTGCTCCCGTGCTGCTCCGTTGCCGTCGCTCGGTGTGCTGTCCTTGCACAACACGCTGTAACCTACCTGAACCGTCTTCTCTTTCCTTCCTTCGTCTCTTCCGTTGCGGTCCTTGCGCCGCTCGTCACGCCCTTCGTTCGCCCCGTATTTCGCCTTATCTCATGACGCTCTCCCCCCATTCTCTCCCAGAGCCTTGCTGCGAATGTTTCAACTTAGGTCTCCTCTGCCAAATCTCTCTCTTCCTTTCTTCCCCGCGCCAGGCTTTGCAAGGACGGCACCAGCTGCTCCCGCCGCGTCTGCTTCTTCGCGCACACGTCCGAGGAGCTCCGCCCGCTGCAGAGCCCCGCCGCGGGCACCCCCGCCAGCATGTTTGCGCACTCCCCCGCGGACATGCGCGCAGTCACCGCCTCCGCCGACCTCCCCCCACCTTCCCCCTCTTCCGTCCGCATGATGTCGCAGTTTGCGCCGCATAGCGCAACCAGCTCTTCCCCCACTGCCCCCATCTCCCCATCCATTGCCACGTTTTCCGCGTCCGGGAAGTGCATGCCCGGGGGAGGTCAGTCCGCGGGCGGGGGTGGACACGGGGGAACTGCGCCGCTGAGCCTGTCGTCGGGGGTAAACCTGATGCGCCTCCGCGCGGCCCTGAATGCGCGCGAGCTGACCATTCCGGAGGAGACTGAAGAGGCGCTAGAGGCGCTGGAAGCTTCCTTGCTGCAGGAGCAGCAGCAGCAACAACAGCAACAACAACAACAGCAACAGCAACAGCAACAACAACAACTACAACAGCAAGGGCAGCTGCAGCAGCAGAACTCGCCACTTTCTCGACCAACGCTGCAGCAACGGCAGCAACAGCAACAGCAGCAGCAGCAGCAACAGCAACAACAGCGCTGGCAGCAGGAGCAGCCAAGATACTGGAACCAGCAGCTGCAGCAACACCAGCAGCTGCAGCACCACTCCCCACCGCAGCACATCCTCCAGGACCACCTGGAATCCATCACACGTGCCGACCTCGGCGCAGCGCGAGTCACCGCGGATTTGGGCGACCTCTCCCTCACCCGCCAGGGTAGATCCCCGGGCGTGCCTTTCCACCAGCTCCAGGACGCGCCGTCCCGTTATGAGCCGACTCAGAACTCGCTCGGAAACGACTTGTCCCTCGGCCGAAACCCGGGGAGGAGCCCGGGCGTGAGTTATCAGCTTCAAGACGCGCCCTCCCCCGGCCTTAGTAGGGGCGCGCAGCAGCTTTACAGCCCCTTACGCCCGGACGTTCTCAGTGGGGATATGGGCATCGTGGGCGGGGGAGTTGCGGGTATGGGGAGCGGCGGAATGGGTATGGGGAGCGGCGGAATGGGTATGGGGAGCGGCGGAATGGGAATGGGGAGCACGGGCATGGGAATAGGGGGTGGCGGCATGGGCATAGCAAGTGTAAGTGCAGGGGGGCAAATGGGCGGGAACAGTGTTCCGTCCAGTCCTGGACGATTAGGCATGACATTATCAGGGGAAGGCTCGCGTCTTGGGCCTGTAAGCGGCTCCTCAAGCCCTTCGCTCCCTGCCCCAAGAACTTATGCGGGTGCTGGTAGTGATGCTGCGCCTAGGAGCTATGGGGGTGTTGGTAGTGATGGTGGCATGGGGGGTGCAGATGGGGGGATGTTTGGTGCTCTACCCTCTCCGAGCCAGTCTCCTAGGTATGGTGCTGCCGGGCCTTCTGGCATGTTCCGAGGCGGGTCGGTAGGGCAGGCAGAGCAGATGATTAGGCAGCTGCAGCAACAGCAGCAGCAGCAGCAACAACAACAGCAGCAGCAGCAACAGCAACAGCAACAGAAGCAACAGCAGCAGCAGCAGCAGCAGCAGCAGCAGCAGCAGCAGCAGCAGCAGCAGCAGCAGCAGCAGCAGCAGCAGCAGCAACAGTTCAGGAATGAAAGCGAACGGGCATATGCGCTCTCGTCCTCTCCGCAACCCCAGCCAGGTCTCGAATCCTCTTATTTAGGGCATTTGGAGGGCCGTGGATTCACACCCATGTCCCCATCACAGGCCGTGGCGTCGCAGTTTCGTATGACCAATAACCTTCGCCAGCAGCAGCAACAGCAGCAGCCATCCCAGTACCAGCAGCCGCAACAGCAGCAACAAAACCAGCAGCAGCAGCAGCCCCACTATCAGCAGCACTCTCAGTCAGATAATCCCCTCTCCAGTGCTCCTGCTAGCACACCCCCCAACCACTCCATGTGGGCGTCACCCTCTGGTCTACCCACGTGGCAGTCAGTCCACTCTGTGCCCACCTATGAACCCCGCATGCTGCCACCCCAGGGAGAATTGCCCTCCCATCAAGGAACTAGTCTTTCTAAAGGAGCAGGGGGTCAGCTTATATCGGGAACAGGGAGGGAGGAGGTACAGGAGACGGATGTGGGGTGGGTGGGGAGTCTGGTTCGGGATGCGGGGAGTGGTGCTGGGTTTTGAGATGTCTCAATCCAGGGAGGTCTCAATTCAGGAAGGTCTCAATTCAGGGGGGTAAGGGTATTCAGTCAGGTGTGGCACTGGTGCTGCTGGGTTTTGAGAGATCTAGAAACAGGGAAGGAGGAGATCCAGACGACAGATGTGAAGTGGGTGGGGATTCTTGTGAGTGATTGGGCTGCTGCTGCTGATTATTGAGATGGATTCGCATTGGTTGGCATTGGTTGGCATGGCATTGATTCGCATTGGTTGGCAGGGGGCGGGTTGGATGGGCCTTGCCTTGGTAAGGGTGTTTTGGCTGGGAGTCCTGATTTTGAGATGCAGGTATAGCAAGGCATCGGACAGTGGGGTGGGTGGTAAGGGGTGTAATGATCCATAATCGTCTGACTGTTATGTTCTCGATACAGCTTGTCCCTTTTCGTGCAGGCTCGGGAGCCTACCTGCTTTCTATCTGCTCTAATATTGCACGCCAGCAGTAACATTCCAATGCTGCTGGCCTATTGATTCATCCGTTGCTAGTGTGGAACTTGTTCCATTCTTACTCCTTATTTTCTTGGATTGCATCTTGAGTTGTTTTAGGTTAGGACCCTTTCCAATTTGTGTTCTTTTACTGATTAAGCAAAATATAAGTTTAGGAGCATTATCACTTGAATTATTTGCATCTGTTACACAGGGGTGCACTACCATGTAACCATACCCATACTGCTGCTGCACACGAGTGCCACTTCTGAACATGGAAGTCAGCCCTGCAGTTGCCTTGCCACAGTCCAATCATCCAATCCAATCTCTTGATACATATTGCTGCACCTGAAAGTATCAGATCTGCTTCCTGATAAAAAATCACGCCAACCTACTGCATCTCTTCCTGATCATGCAAGGGGAAGAACAGATACGGCCCTGCCCAGGCGGCAATGGGCCTGAATCCAACAATCAGCAAGGTACAGCAGAGGGCAAGAGCAGCAACAAGCCCCACCGTTTCCCCTGGTTGATTAGGCACACAGGCTAGCAACGATGCCGCTGCAGCATAGCTTGCCTGAGAGATGCCCTCAGGAGAAACACCGCCAAAGCTGGCAGCAGCAACAGCAGCTGCAGCTGTGCACGTAATTAAGACCACCCAACGCCTTTCCCTCGCTCCTTCCGTTGCCCATTTCCCCTGGCCTTCGAGCTGTCTCTTACTCTCTGTCTCTGCCTCTCCCTGCGTGTTCCTGCCCTTACTCCGTGTCCCTGTCTCTGCCTGTGCGCCCCTGCCCTTGCTCCGCGCAGCCATATCTGCCACACTGCACCGAAGGGCGTCCGCGAATCGCCTGTGTGCTGCTCGTCTCATGGCCCGTTCGGTATCTTCAGATGCTGATGGGCCTGGTGCTGATGTGCTCTGAACGGCATCCCCCTGGCAGGGGATGGGCCACAGGGGAGAGAGAAGGGAGGGCAGCAAAACATACAGCGTGGTCCAAAAACGCCTCAAAGGCATGCTGTGGGTCCTTTGATGCTGACGTGCTCTGAACGGCAGGCATCGCCCTGGCAGGAGATGGGGTACAGAGGAGAGAGAAGGGTGGCCGGCAAAACATACTGTACAGAACGTTCAAAAAGGCCTCAAAGGCCTGCTGTGGGTCCTTTGATGCGGATGTGCCCTGAACAGCAGGCATCGCCCTGGCAGGGGGAAGCTAAGGAAGCTGGAAAAACGAGGTACACAGCTGGTTCAGGCGCCCCAAGTGATGCACCTGATAATCCACCTGATGAGGCAACTGAAGATGCACCTGATCATCCACCTGATAACGCACCTGTTGATGTTGCGGAGTTGAAAATAAAGATACACCTGAAGATGCACCTTATGACCTATTGTTCCCTAAGAACAAATAGCCACCTGAGTGCTTGCTGGGGGAGAGACGACAGCAGCATCTGGTGGCGCCACCTGGGCCACCTGAAGATACTCCTGAACGTCCAGAGGCCGCCCGAACTCCACAGTCACCCGCCTACGCAGGGGAATGGTGCGACCCTTCGGTAGAGCTTCAAAGGTGCCCTGGGTGGGTGGGTGGACGACAGTAGGGCGCAGTATGGATAAAAGAAGAGGAGCAAAGGAGTTGGAGGATATGCATGAATGTCCAGAGGCGGCCCAAAAGTGACCTTTCTCTGTAGGGGGATGGTTCGACTCTTTGGCCGTGTCTCTTGAATAAATGGCTCGCTTGCTAACTCGCTCGCTCTCTCACTCACTCACTCACTTGTTGACTCGCTCACGCACAGACGACAGCGCTCACCTTGACACACACAGGAACCACGGGCACGTCCAGCTGCTCTGCCAGCAGGCCCACGCCTGACTTGAGGAGCCTCACTTCAAACGACACGTGCCGCACTCACTCACACTCATACTCACCACACAGGGCTGGGCTCACCTTGACACACACAGGAACAACGGCCACGTCCAGCTGCTCTGCCAGCAGCCCCACGCCTGACTTGAAGGGTAATGTCTCACTCATTCGGACAATAGTGCTCACCTTGACGCACACGGGCACCACGGGCACGTCCAGCTGCTCTGCCAGCAGCCCCACGCCTGACTTGAAGGGCTGCAGGGATCCAGTCAAGGAGCGCGTGCCCTCGGGGAAAATGAGGACTGCTGTGGGGCGGTGGGGGCCGCTGGCTGCCTTGAGCTGCAGTAGGGTGTCGAGCTGGTGGTGGGAAAGGGAGGGAGGGAGGAAAAAGGGTAGGGTAACGGAGAACGAGAGGAAGATGAGGACTGCTGTGGGGCGATGGGGACCGCTGGCTGCCTTGAGCTGCAGTAGGGTGTCGAGCTGGTGGTGGGAGTGGGAGAGGTGGAGGGGAGGGACGAGGGAGGAGAGAGAGAAGAGAGAGATGTTGTGGTGTTGAGAGCAAGGAGGGGAGGATGAGCACTGCTGTGGGGCGGTGGGGGCTGCTGGTTGCCTTAAGCTCTAGTAGGGTGTCGAGCTGGTGGTGAAGGCGGGAGTGGGAGAGAGGGAGGAGGAGAGAAACAGGGGGAAAGGATAGAGCAAGGAGAGCAAGGAAGGGTATATGAGCACTGCTGTGGAAGGATGACGGCTGCTGGTTGCCTTGAGCTCTAGTAGAGTGTCCAGCTGCTGGTGGGAGGAGGAGGGAGGAGAGGGAGGAGAGGGGGAAGAGGGAGAAGAGGAGGAAAGAGGAGGAGAAGAAAGGGATGTAGGGATAACAAGAGCAAGGGGGGGAGGATGGGCACTGCTGTGGGGCAGTGAGGGCTGCTGGTGGGCTTGAGGAGCTGGAGTTGAGTGTGGCGCTAGTGACGAGGTGAATGACAGTTTTGTGGGAGAGTGGTAGGATGGTGCAAAACGAATTCAGGAAGGTTAGTGATGAGAGCAGGGAGAGAGTGATGAGAGCAGGGAGAGAGTGATGAGAGCAGGGACAGAGTGATGAGAGCAGGGACAGAGTGATGAGAGCAGGGACAGAGTGATGAGAGCAGGGAGAGAGTGATGAGAGCAGGGACAGAGTGATGATAGCAGGGAGAGAGTGATGAGAGCAGGGAGAGAGTGATGAGAGCAGGGAGAGAGTGATGAGAGCAGGGAGAGAGAGATGAGAGCAGGGAGAGAGTGATGAGAGCAGGGAGAGAGTGATGAGCGAAGGGAGAGAGTGATGAGAGCAGGGCAGCTTGGCTTGGCATCCTATGCTTGAGACGTCTCAAAAGGGCGGCTTGGCTTGGCATCCCATGTTTGAGACGTCTCAAAAGGGCGGCTTGGCTTGGCATCCTATGCTTGAGACGTCTCAAAAGGGCGGCTTGGCTTGGCATCCTATGTTTGAGACGTCTCAAAAGGGCGGCTTGGCTTGGCATCCTATGCTTGCGACGTCTCAAAAGGGCGGCTTGGCTTGGCATCGTATTTGTCCACACTGCATAGCTATTGCAACAAGGTGACTTTTGAGCCGACTCAAAATCCAAGTCACCTCGTTGTGGGTTAAACAGGGCGGCTTGGCTTGGCATCCTATGTTTGAGACAACTCAAAAGGGCATCTTGGGTTGGCATTCTATTCGTCCACTCCCAACACACTTGTACATTGCACAGCTATTGCATGAGCACTGCATCATACCACTTACATGCGCAAAGCAGCATAGCTCTTCCATGTGCGTGTGCACCATACTGTGCGTGACATACGTCTTGCTCGGAGAACTAATTTTGAGGCGCCTCAAAAGGCGCCTCAAAATACACCTCAATGTGCGTGCACCATACCGTGCATGACACACCGCATGTAGAGCATACCTCTTGCTGGGAGAACTTGCGCTTTTTTAGAACTCTAAGAAGAACATACCTCTTGCTGAGAGAACTTGCGGTATTTTAGAACTCTCAGAAGAACATACCTCTTGCTGGGAGAACTTGCGGCGGTTGATAGGGATGACATGCATGCACGTGGTGACGAACCATGCCTGGTGGGGCGGGAGGGATGAGGCAGGCAGATGGTTATGAGAGCGACGAGCCATGCCTGGTGGTAACATAGGTGGGATGAGAGGTGGGAGAGATGGGGCAGACGGATGGTTGATGGAGATGACGTACATGCATGTGGTGACGAACCATGCCTGGTGGGGTGGACAAACCATACAGGCGGACAATTGCCATCGCTACCAGAAGGGGGTTGCTGAAGAAGTAGTCCCGAGCAACCCCCTCAACCTCAACGTCCCGTTTCAGTAACAGGGAATAGACCGTCACCCAGGGAATAGACCGTCACCCAGGGAATAGACCGTCACCCAGGGAATAGACCGTCACCCAGGGAATCGACCGTCACCAAGGGAATAGACCGTCACCCAGGGAATAAACCGTCACCCAGGGCATAAACCGTCACCCAGGGAATAGACCGTCACCCAGGGAATAAACCGTCACCCAGGGAATAGACCATCACCTAGGGAATAGACCGTCACCCAGGGAATAGACCGTCACCCAGGGAATAGACCGTCACCCAGGGAATAGACCGGCACCCAGGGAATAGACCGTCACCCAGGGAATAGACCGTCACCCAGGGAATAAACCGTCACCCAGAGAATAGACCGGCACCCAGGGAATAGACCGTCACCCAGGGAATAGACCGTCACCCAGGGAATAGACCGTCACCCAGGGAATAGACCGTCACCCAGGGAATAAACCGTCACCCGGGGAATAGACCATAACCCAGGGAATAAACCGTCACATAGGGAATAGACCATCACCCAGGGAATAAACCGTCACCCAGGGAATAAACCGTCACCCAGGGAATAGGCCGTCACCCAGAGAATAGACCGTCACCTAGGGAATAAACCGTCACCCAGGGAATAAACCGTCACCCAGGGAATAGACCGTCGCCCAGGGAATAGACCATTACCCAGGGAATAGACCGTCACCCAGGGAATAGACCGTCACCCAGGGAATAGACCGTCACCCAGGGAATAGACTGTCACCCAGGGAATAAACCGTCACCCAGGGAATAGACCGTCACCCAGGGAATAGACCATAACCCAGGGAACAAACCGTCACACAGGGAATAGACCATCACCCAGGGAATAAACCATCACCCAGGGAAAAAACCGTCACCCAGGGAAAAGACCATCACCCAGGGAATAGACCATCACCCAGGGAATAGACCATCACCCAGGGAATAAACCGTCACCCAAGAAATCAACCATCACCCAGGGAATAAACCGTCACCCAGGGAATAGACCGTCTCCCAGGGAATAAACCATCACCCAGGGAATAAACCGTCACCAAGGGAATAGACCGTCACCCAGGGAATAGACCGTCACCTAGGGAATAAACCATCACCCAGGGAATAAACCGTCACCCAGGGAATAAACCGTCACCAAGGGAATAGACCGTCACCCAGGGAATAGTCCGTCACCCAGGGAATAAACCATCACCCAGGGAATAAACCGTCACCCAGGGAATAAACCATCACCCACGGAATAAACCGTCACCCAGGGAATAGACCGTCACCCAGGGAATAAACCGTCACGCAGGGAATAGACCGTCACCCAGGGAATAGACCGTCACCCAGGGAATAGACCGTCACCAAGGAAATAGACCGTCACCCAGGGAATAGACCGTCACCCAGGGAATAAACCGTCGCCCAGGGAATAGACCATTACCCAGGGAATAGACCGTCACCCAGGGAATAAACCGTCACCCAAGAAATAAACCATGCCTGGTGGGGTGGACAAACCATACAGGCGGACAATTGCCATCCCTACCAGAAGGGGGTTGCTGAAGAAGTAGTCCCGAGCAACCCCCTCAACCTCAACGTCCCGTTTCAGTAACAGGGAATAGACCGTCACCCAGGGAATAGACCGTCACCCAGGGAATAGACCGTCACCCAGGGAATAGACCGTCACCCAGGGAATAAACCGTCACCCAGGGCATAAACCGTCACCCAGGGAATAGACCGTCACCCAGGGAATAAACCGTCGCCCAGGGAATAGACCGTCACCCAGGGAATAAACTGTCACCCAAGAAATAAACCATCACCCAGGGAATAAACCGTCACCCAGGGAATAGACCCTCTCCCAGGGAATGAACCGTCACCAAGGGAATAGACCGTCACCCAGGGAATAGACCGTCACCTAGGGAATAAACCGTCGCCCAGGAAATAAACTGTCACCCAGGGAATAAACCGTCACCAAGGGAATAGACCGTCACCCAGGGAATAGTCCGTCACCCAGGGAATAAACCATCACCCAGGGAATAAACCGTCACCCACAGAATAAACCGTCACCCAGGGAATAGACCGTCACCCAGGGAATAAACCGTCACGCAGGGAATAGACCGTCACCCAGGGAATAGACCGTCACCCAGGGAATAGACCGTCACCAAGGAAATAGACCGTCACCCAGGGAATAGACCATCACCAAGGGAATAAACTGTCACCCAGGGAATAGACCGTCACCCAGGGAATAGACCGTCACCAAGGAAATAGACCGTCACCCAGGGAATAAACTGTCACCCAGGGAATAAACCGTCACCCAGGGAATAGACCGTCACCCAGGGAATAAACCATCACCCAGGGAATAAACCGTCACCCAGGGAATAGACCGTCTCCCAGGGAATAAACCATCACCCAGGGAATAAACCGTCACCAAGGGAATAGACCATCTCCCAGGGAATAAACCATCACCCAGGGAATAAACCGTCACCAAGGGAATAGACCGTCACCCAGGGAATAGACCGTCACCCGGGGAATAAACCATCACCCAGGGAATAAACCATCACCCGGGGAATAAACCATCACCCAGGGAATAAACCATCACCCAGGGAATAAACCGTCACCCAGGGAATAGACCATCACCCAGGGAATAATCCATCACCAAGGGAATAGACCATCACCCAGGGAATAGACCGTCACCCAGGGAATAGACCGTCACCCAGGGAATAGACCGTCACCCAGGGAATAGACCGTCACCCAGGGAATAAACCGTCACCCAGGGAATAGACCGGCACCCAGGGAATAGACCGTCACCCAGGGAATAGACCGTCACCCAGCGAATAAACCATCACCCAGGGAATAAACCGTCACCCAGGGAATAAACCATCACCCAGGGAATAAACCGTCACCCAGGGAATAGACAGTCACCCAGGGAATAGACCGTCACCCAGGGAACAGACCGTCACCGAGGGAATAAACCGTCGCCCGGGGAATAGACAGTCACCCAGGGAATAGACCGTCACCCAGGGAATAGACCGTCACCCAGGGAATAGACCGTCACCCGGGGAATAAACCATCACCCGGGGAATAAACCGTCACCCAGGGAATAAACCATCACCCAGGGAATAAACCATCACCCAGGGAATAAACCGTCACCCAGGGGTAGACCATCACCCAGGGAATAAACCATCACCAAGGGAATAGACCATCACCCAGGGAATAGACCGTCACCCAGGGAATAGACCGTCACCCAGGGAATAAACCGTCACCCAGGGAATAAACCGTCACCCAGGGAATAGACCGTCACCCAGGGAATAAACCATCACCCAGGGAATAAACCATCACCCGGGGAATAAACCGTCACCCAGGGAATAAACCATCACCCAGGGAATAAACCATCACCCAGGGAATAAACCGTCACCCAGGGGTAGACCATCACCCAGGGAATAAACCATCACCAAGGGAATAGACCATCACCCAGGGAATAGACCGTCACCCAGGGAATAGACCGTCACCCAGGGAATAAACCGTCACCCAGGGAATAGACCGTCACCTAGGGAATAAACCGTCGCCCAAGAAATAAACTGTCACCCAGGGAATAAACCGTCACCAAGGGAATAGACCGTCACCCAGGGAATAGTCCGTCACCCAGGGAATAAACCATCACCCAGGGAATAAACCGTCACCCACAGAATAAACCGTCACCCAGGGAATAGACCGTCACCCAGGGAATAAACCGTCACGCAGGGAATAGTCCGTCACCCAGGGAATAGACCGTCACCCAGGGAATAGACCGTCACCAAGGAAATAGACCGTCACCCAGGGAATAGACCATCACCAAGGGAATAAACTGTCACCCAGGGAATAGACCGTCACCCAGGGAATAGACCGTCACCAAGGAAATAGACCGTCACCCAGGGAATAAACTGTCACCCAGGGAATAAACCGTCACCCAGGGAATAGACCGTCACCCAGGGAATAGACCATAACCCAGGGAACAAACCGTCACACAGGGAATAGACCATCACCCAGGGAATAAACCATCACCCAGGGAAAAAACCGTCACCCAGGGAAAAGACCATCACCCAGGGAATAGACCATCACCCAGGGAATAGACCATCACCCAGGGAATAAACCGTCACCCAAGAAATCAACCATCACCCAGGGAATAAACCGTCACCCAGGGAATAGACCGTCTCCCAGGGAATAAACCATCACCCAGGGAATAAACCGTCACCAAGGGAATAGACCGTCACCCAGGGAATAGACCGTCACCTAGGGAATAAACCATCACCCAGGGAATAAACCGTCACCCAGGGAATAAACCGTCACCAAGGGAATAGACCGTCACCCAGGGAATAGTCCGTCACCCAGGGAATAAACCATCACCCAGGGAATAAACCGTCACCCAGGGAATAAACCATCACCCACGGAATAAACCGTCACCCAGGGAATAGACCGTCACCCAGGGAATAAACCGTCACGCAGGGAATAGACCGTCACCCAGGGAATAGACCGTCACCCAGGGAATAGACCGTCACCAAGGAAATAGACCGTCACCCAGGGAATAGACCGTCACCCAGGGAATAAACCGTCGCCCAGGGAATAGACCATTACCCAGGGAATAGACCGTCACCCAGGGAATAAACCGTCACCCAAGAAATAAACCATGCCTGGTGGGGTGGACAAACCATACAGGCGGACAATTGCCATCCCTACCAGAAGGGGGTTGCTGAAGAAGTAGTCCCGAGCAACCCCCTCAAC